CTAGGGGCATACTGAAACACTCCTTTTGATCCCAAAGGTGGAAGAACATTGGGCTAATCATTTTGTTTATTCTGCCCTTATTAAAAATTTAAACCAAGATTGCTCTTTCCTTGACTGAATGAAAAGAAATGTGTGAAATTCACCATGAAATGTGGGCATCCTCCTCAGGGGGAGGTAAGCAGGGTCTCTTTGGAGTTGAAGTGGCTCCAAGGTGACATGTTTGGAAATAGGATGGTGGAATCAGCCCTCTGTGGCAGTCTCAGTAGACCGGTTCCTGAACCAGCCAGATCCACAGTACTCCAGGTCACTGATGACGACAGCACAGCCATCCTGGCTCATCGGCAGGACCTGGAAGGGCAGACCAGTTACCTGGGTCAGGGAATCCTCCCACTCAGCTCCTGTTAACCCTGCAAGCCAAAGCCCTAATGGATAGGGTGGTCCTACCTGGACAAGCAACAGGAAAGCTTGGCAGACAACAATATTATGCAAGCTATATAGTTTTAGCTGGTTAGACTCCAGCAGTACTCCAAAGCATACTCTGGGGTCCCCAAGCCTTGGCTTTTTCCAACCTACGTTTAATACTTTCCGGAATTAGGTAAGCAGGAAGCATCTCTCCAGGGAGAGAGCGCATTCCATTCTGACAATCTAACTCTGGGATTTCCATCCTATCTCTGGGATGCATAGAATTCTCAGTTTGGTTTGGATATTTTTAAGTACGGTGATGGGTTTCCATAGGTACCAGACACCCGACTCAGCAAAAAAAAAAGTGGGTATTAAAGAACAAGCTCCTAGATACCAGCTGAGAGTCTCTGCTCTGTTCTCACCCAGCGAAATAATAAAGGAAACATTGTCCATTGTCTTTCATTTCTGTATTCAACTTGTATTTCCTTCTTGCTTTGTCCCACATCTGCTGAGACAATAACAAGAGCTATGTGGATGGGTTGTCAGCCTGGCTCAGTTGGGAGCATTCTTGCCACGTTGAGACTTGGAACTCACACTCCAGTGGAGTCTGGGGGGCCACTGTATTGTTGAAGGTGCCATCCTTTGGATGAGGTATTTAACTGGTGGACATTAAAGATTCCTTGGCACTAATCAAAAAGAAATGGGTGTGCTGGAGGGATGAAATCAGATGGGCCAAAAAACCTTTTTCATCCAAACCACTTGTGATCTACACTTTTCTCTCTTGACCTGTAATGCATTACAGACATCGAACCAGTGTATTCAACTGATCCCGGGCCCCTCCTTGCTCCCCAGATGATGTTGCGTAAAGGGCCAGAAAAGTCTAACAAAGTCTTAGTCTAATCACTATTTGAGCGTCCAATCAGTATATTCCCAGCAGCAATGATACTGTACAGCAACACAGCTGAGAGCTTGTAAACTCTTCACAGTTGATGTTACAATGCAGCACTGGAAGCCTCTGTCTAGACTTGGAACAGCTGGCTGTAAGTAAAGGGGGGTTAATTGAGGCGTACTGTAATACTGTGAGAGACTGCTGAGCAGACAGTAAATAAGCACATCCTCTGCTGTCACATTAAATGTCAGCCAACATTTGGTGAATCTCAACTTCCATCGCTGTTCTCTTTCATATCAATGTGTCCCAAGCCCCCATTGTATAACACAGACATTTGCTCAACACAAACTTTATTACATCGACAACATACAGCAAGTTATGAATTTTTTTTACATTGCAAATTTCCTTACAAGCAAATACAATGTTTGTTACATATGTGGGATCAGGAGTTCAAAACTAAAGTGTGGGGAGAATAATAATAATCTTTGCATTTGATATAAGTGCCTTATCACATCGTTGAGTCATCTCAAAGCGCTTCACAGAATATATATACTTCAGTAAAGTGAATTGACTGTGTATTCTGTACATAGAGCAGACAAAGGCACTTGAGTTAGGGCTTATCTGAGTGCTCTCAATTAAAAAAAAAGTATAAATCTGCAGGGATTTCATCCTCAAAGATACATATTGGCCAGTTTTATACTTCATTTAGAAATCTAGCAATCTGACAAGTAAAAACAGTTGGAAGCATTATTCCAGATGGAAAAAGATGCACATTAGATCCGCAAAGGGAAGAGCTGTCTACAAGAAACACCCCCACTTGCTGCCAGGAGTTGTGTGGAGTGTTGGGCAAAGGGTCCGTTGGGTGAAGGGTCTATTGAGGTGTCAAATCGTCATGCTTTTTAATCAGATTGCTGGCTTTCTTTCATGGCCCAAATGTGACTCCCGAGTATTAAATCCCTGCAGATTTACACCTTTTGCCGGCTTTAAGGTAACCCCAAATGAAACGTGAGCCAAACAGAAGTCACTCAGTTACAGTTTCTGATCAGCTGAGGTCCTGCTGCAGGGCAACACGACAGGCTCAAAACCTCACTGATCAAATCCAATTTATCCACTAATGATTGTCGTCAATCAAAGCTGAGAGATGAACTTAGTGGCATGTCTTTACTCTCAGCTCGGTCCCAGTGGATGTTGGGAGTGGTAACGGCCCCAAATCAACACACTCACCTACAAATACACAAGTCATTCAACTTCACAGTAAAGATCTCGTGAAGCACTTCGAGATGTCTCAAGGACATATAAGATGCTGTATCAAATGCAAGGATTATTATTATTGACCACTTTTGGTCACGTGATTTAAAAGTTTCATAGTTCGGGGGCTGAAGTGAACTTTTACACACTCAGTAAACTCAGCTCAGGTGTCCCATCCTCTCCCGCTCTCTCCGACCCCTGTCTGTGGCTGATCTACTGGGTAGGAAAATGTACCGTTTTATCCTTATCAATGCCGTTACATTAGATAAGCACTTTCGTTATATAACCAGGTTTGGAGACATATGGATACCTTTCTGAGATACTTTTAAATGCATATTATTTAACTGTCCAATACTAGCAAAATAAAAAGCATGAATTAGTAAAAAGCAAACAAATTGGCATGCAATAAATACATCATACCAGTTACCTATAGAATCAGGCCTTAGAGAGTATACAGTGGACAAAAATATCGTACCTCACAACTAGTGCAGCCGTGTTATTGTACAGTATAATTCTTTGGTTAGTTAGTCAAAGTTATACCAGCGGGGTAATGAGATTGTCTCTCAGATGGGACTATTAACATGCCTTGATTTACAGGTTGCTAACATTGTGTCTGAGTGGTTCTCATCTCCCTGATGTAAGACTGGCACTTGTTTACTTCCTTAGATTACAAAGCAAGGAAGCCCCCAGCTTCCTCCAATTCCTCACAGAGCTACGGGCTGGTGGGGGGGGGGTATAGTTTGCCTCGTTGCAGCTACAAAAAAGGTGCAGGTATTGAAAAATAATTGTTCCCATTTGTTTTTCCCATGTGAATAACTTTGCGGGCTGCACACCAACCAGTCGGCATGCTCCCCGCTAGCATTTGAGGGAGTGGAAGGGCACAGCTAGCTGCCTGCTCACTGGGAAAACGTTCAGTGCCTCTACACTGCCACATGATATACCAGCAGCAAAGTGTTGGAAACTACTCTATAGTATTGCTCACAGCTTGGAGGGGCTGTTTCCCAGATGGATTGATTGGAAGGGCAGTTAGAATGGGAAATAAAACCTTTCATTTGAAAATCACGAATCGCTTCTCTGGGCTCACAAAGCATTTAAACTTCACTTGAGGGCGGAAGAGGTCAAGCGGTAGGTTTCAGTGCAGTGCCGTTAGCCTGTCGCTCACTCACTCACTACCAGAGAAAATCAACACTGACAGCAACACGAAATCTCTCCGATGTCGCTTGCATTTAAAAGCCTTTTAAAACCGTGGTTAGGATGGGCAGGAATGAACAACAGTAACTCACACAAAGATAGGCTTCAAGTAATCTTATAACACCGTGTGCTTGCTCTCTGCTTCTCACTAAATCTCGTGTCAAAACTCTTTCCATTTAGTCTTCATGAAAAAAAGTAACTGATTTAAGAATGTGGGTGGAGGGAAGCAAGTTGCTGTGAGCAGGATATCACTGGCTTTGAATGAAGTGAGGCTATAGTTTGAAGCAGTTTCTCTTTACCAATGATTGTTTTGCTGTTTCTCGTTTTTTCCCCCTCAGGGAATCTAAAATTAAATCAATTTAAAAGTTCCAGGACCAAAAAAACTCAGACCACAAAAAATGCTAAATCTGCTCGCTTCATGGATGATAGTGGGACGTTGCTTTATGCAAACTGGCTGCTGCTTTCGCCCACAAAATACAGTCACTACACTTTACAATATATCCTGTGAAGCGTTTTGATACGTCTCAATAATGTGATAAGGCACCGGAGGTCTATATGAAGTGCTTTGAGACGTCTTGAAGACGTGATAAGACGCTATATCAAATGCAAGGATTACTATTATTATTGTTATTATGATCAACATCTACCTCACAGCTGAATGTGGGACATTGCTGTGTGCAAATTAGCTTCTGTGTTCACCCACAAATGCAAGCCACTACACGTTACAGTATATTCTATGAAGCGCTTTGAGACGTTTCAGTGACATAAGGCATTGTATCAAACGCAAGGATTGGTATTAATTTCTATGTCAGTGATTGCGTTCTCTTTCTACCCAACATCTAATAATCGTAGAATAGTTTTTTCCAAACCATCATCACGAGCTACTGCACCTATCGCCCAATCCCATAATAATAATAATCCTTACATTGATAAGAACATAAGAGATACTAGAAAAAAGACCAAGGTCCACCTAGTTCGCCTTTCACCTTCCTGTTGGTCGCTTGCACATATATCCCAAACTTCCTATGTACTATATCCCACAACGTTATTTCCTAAAACTATCTAATCTGTTTGAAAGAATCAACACTTCCTGCTTCAACCATCAACCCAGGGAGCCTGTTCCACAGGTTCACTATTCGCACACTGAAGCAGTGTTTGCGTAGATTTGTTCTGAATTTCCCCCACTTCAATCGCAGGCCGTGTCCTCTGGTTTTACTATTCTGGACAAGTTGAAACAGCCTGCCGTGATCTATATCGTGTGCCTTATCAAGTCTTCGGGACACCTCAAAGCGCTTCACAGAATATATTGTAAAGTGGGTTGATCCAATCCCATCACCTGGCCTGGGCCTCTTTTGACCTCAGTCTACATTGCCAGCGGTGTGAAGCGGCGAAGAGATTCCACATGTATCTACACCCCGGGCTGCCTTGCTCTAGCTCTAGCTCTCCTCGGAAGTAAATAAAACAATCAAATTGAAAATAATCAAATTAAAAAAAATAAAAGTTACGTTTGTAATTATTTTGGGTTGAACTGAAAAGTTATGTGTTTATACAGTTATTGGGATTTTACTGCAAACCGAGCAGGGATTCGCTCTGGGCCTCCATGGGGAAATACAAGAGTCTCCACACATTGTTTAGTAAAGATAGCCACAACTTAACCACAGAACGTAGTGTGTTTGACATGCATTACTGGGTCACATGGGCACAGCTGCAGCCAAACGCGTCACAAAGCGCATCTTGCTCTGTGATTGTTAACCTGTCATCTCCCCCCCAGATTACATCTGATATAATTATGAGAATTTATATCCGTAACAAAAGTAGGACTTTTTGTAAAATAATCGTATGTTAGAGGAATCTAGGAGCAGATAAACTAGGCTGGCAAGACACGGCTTTACAGTTTGCGATGTTTGAGTTGGAGCAGAACAGTTTGGTTTGAAGCGATGAGATGCCAAGACAAGGGAGACGCTCTCACCAACACTGAAACGCACGCACAGGTTAGCTCGTTCTGGGTTAAAAAGAACAAAAGGTTTGAAATAGCTTAACGTACAAGGCGAGGAGTTATTTCATTATATAAAAAAAATCTTCCAAACTGGTTTCAAAAGAATTTACAATAAAAGTTTTTTTTTAAAAGGACGACTATAAAATTGGCAAGTACACATGATTTGTCTGTTGCTTAATGTTGACTGTCTTTGTATAACAAATGTAATTTGTTTGGAAGGGAAACTCTCTGTTGCCATCTGCCTACATTGCTCTGCGGTGACAGACACACTAAGGGCGTGTCATTTCGAGCCTCTTACAAGTCGAACCTGTAGCAAATGCTTTAAAAAGGGTTTCTATTTGCGTTTCCGTAAAACCATGTACATGACACCACCCAACAGTGTGAAAGCAAAACCGATCCAGGCTAGGATGTATGAGTAGCCGTAATTGCTATCGGTATCAAAGTCATGGAAGTTTTCCCTCCGGTTTGTGTAAATCGAAGCTGCAATCATCACACAGAGACCTACGAGAAAACAGAACATCCAAGTCTTTAATATTGTCCACCCACACGGGAGTGTGTGTATGTGTGTGGGGGGTGGGGAGGTGGCAGGCGGGTGGTTGGGGGAGGTAAGCAGAACACCCCAGAGAAGGGGGATTGGGTTAATGTCAAATGGTAAATATAAATTCCTCCAGATATCTTCACACATCCCGCTCTCCCTTGCTCGGTGTCCAACTCTATCCCTGTAAAGGCATTACCCGACCTGAATGTCTCCAATTGGCTCTACTCTACCCCCTATCCACACCCCCCACCCCCACCGGCAAATCACTCGACACCTTGACATACCTCTACCTTTAGTGCCCCAAGATTCTACCTCACGTAAAGGCAATATAAGTGTGAGTTGTTGTTGTTGATGTTCCTTTTACTCCCCAAATCCCAGCCTTATCTCCACTGTAACACGTCATGTATCACCAAATCTAGATTGGTTTCACCTCAGCAATACTGGCCAACACTCGTGCTACTCTGGCCATACAGGGGACTCATTAACAATTGGCTCCCAGAAAATTGGACTTTGCTCTGTCTAACTGGGAGACAGCTTTAGAGGTACAGTGCATTGTGGGTTACAAGAAGCGGGAGGAGGGGGATTGAAGGGACAGGTTGCTCCAAGAGCCGGTGCGGACTCGATGGACCAAATGGCCTCCTTTTCTGTGCTGTAAATTTTTATGGTTGTGTGATTGTACTTACTGGAAAGCAGCTGAAAGCTGCCAGCGACAAGGAACCGCTCTCCTTTGGGCAGCCGGAAGAGTTGGATGAGGAAAATGAAGAACGAGATACAGCAGAGGATGACAGAGAGGATCATGGTCGCCTGAACCGCCTCAAGGTAGCCTGTCAGGAGCAACAAACACAGTTAGACCTGGACTGGTTTCACCGAGGCCTGGACCAGCCGATCACATAGAAACATAGGAACAGGAGTAGGCCATTCAGCCCTCGAGCCTGTTCCACTATTGTATAAGATCATGGTTGATCTGTATCTCAACTCCAATTACACGCCCTCACTCCATATCCCTTAATACCTTGAAACGGCTGTTTGTGGGACATCACTGTGCGCAAATTGGCTGCTGTGTTCGCAGACAAAAGTCACTAACTACACTTTACAGAAAATCTTGTGATGTGCCTTAAGACGTCCTGACGATGTGACAGACGCTGTATCAAACGTTAGGATTATTATTATTGATAACCCTCAGCCGTAGTTTACAATAGTTTACAACAGACACTAATTAGGTGGTCCTGGAAATCAGTGTGGCTCTGAACATCTGCCTATTATTTGGGGAGCTCTTGGTCTTTGCTCAGCATCTCTCCTGGCAGTGCCCGTGAGATGAAAGAGTTGATCTGGGACGCCCCAGGGCAGGGTGCTTGGTTCAATGCCAGTGTCACCAAACAACAATTAGACTCCGACGTTTGAAGCTATAGAGCTATAGAATGGAACAAAGAATCTACGACTGTTTATGGGACACTTCTGTGCGCAACTGACTGCTGCATTTCACCCACAAAATACACGGTCAATCCTCTTTACAGTACTGTGAAGCACTTTGAGACGTCCCAACGACGTGATAAGGCAAAGATTATTATTAATTATTATTAGAATGAAATTCTACTTTTTTTGAAAAAAATACGACACTATCCTCTGATTCTCCAGAGACCCCTATGCAAGTCTCGTCATCTCGCTTATGTTTCCCTGATTTTCATCTCTGTGTCTCCATTTGGTCTGCACGTGTCTCATTTCCTCAAGTTTAAATGCCTTAACTCCTCCGCTTGCTCACCCCCTCTTTATCGATCTTGAAATCCCGCCTGAAGACCTACCTCTTCAACTGTGCCTATTGTCACATCTCCATTCCCCTTCTCCCTTGCCCAGGGTCCAACCCCACCACCGTGAGGCGCTCCGAGATGCTATCCAGGGTGAATAGCTCTGTATAAGTGCAAGTTGTTGTTGTCTACTCCCGCTACACCTTGGCCCTGCCTGTTCTCTGTGACTGGCCTCGCTCTCTGGAACTATAACCCAGAGTCCCTCTGCTTTCCCACCGCACACCCTCCATTACAGCCCGTGATACAAACTTTCTTTTTGACCACACTTCTGATTACCTTGTCCCGCCCACCCGCATTACTTCCTTACTCCCCCCATCACAACCCCAGCCACTTCCTACCTCCTCATCTCAGAGCCCAGAAAATCCCTAAAGTTTATTTGAAGAGCGTCTCCGTTTAGAAATACTCACTACTGTCAGCCAAGACCTTGACCGGACTGCAGGAGCTGTTGTTGATAAAGCAGGTCTGCCATATATCAGTGCTGTACATGTCACTTCTCCACCACGCCTGAAATAACATTGAGAAACAAGATCAGGTTCAATGCGGAGCAAAAGTGTGAAACCAGCTCACCTGAAGTGACGAGATCAAACAAAGGCTATCAGCTGGACAATTGGGGACATACTGGCTCACACAACGCAAAGGTAATCATTAATGGCTAAACCTAACCAACCCGGTTCATCATCAAAAAGGCAGAACTCGGCAGTCTACACTTACGCCCACATGGCAACAGTGGCTACACTTCACATGAACCACCCTACCCGTTAGGGCTTTGGCTTGCAGGGTTGACAGGAGCTGAGTAAGAAGAGTCCCTGCCCCAAGTGAGTAGTCTGCCCTTCCAAGACCTGCCGATGAGCCAGACTGGGCTGCGCTGTCATCGGCAGTGCCCTGGAATACTGTGGACCCGCCTGGCTCAGGAATCGGACTAGAGACCGTCACAGAGGGTGGACTCAATTACAAAATTCCATTAACTAGAAGCCAGCTCGGCCCTGAGATGATCCCGTTTACCCTCACCCCCTGCCCCCGAAGGAGAATAAAATATAGGCTTCAAAATCAAGATTACATTCAAAGTTTTAATGGTCTGAAAATGTTAGCTTGAATATTATTAATGTTAGCATTCGTCTACGTCTGGACACAGGTGAATTATTATTAATTGTCTATGTGGACTACAAGGCGTATGCAGTGAGGAACTCCCATATCTACTCACATTGTCTATTGTGGCGATGAACAGCAGAGCAGCTGTTATTATATGAAACACAATGATGAGCCCCAGAAGAACAAGCATCTTAACGGTCTTCCTTCAAACCACGACAGAGTTCGCTGTGAAAACACAACAAAAAAAGAAAATGAAATGTATTTTAAATGCACAATTCACAAGTTCAAGTTCCGCGTCAGGATGGGGTGACTCTCCAGTGTAGTGCTGGGGGAGCACTGCATTGTTGGCGGTGCCACCCTGCAGATGAAATGTTAAACCGAGGCCCCATTCAGGGCCACGTTAAAGATCCAATGGCACTATTGGAAAAGAGAAGAGAGCTTTTCCCAGTGTCCTGGCCAACAATCCCATAGCATAGTGATTAGTATGCTCGCCTTGCAAGCGAATGGACCCAGGTTCGATCCCGGGCGGGGTGAAGCATTTGGTAAGTTTGCCTCTGTTTACCTACCAGTAAGTAGGAAACCGGTTGTTAGTCAACTGTCAGATTGCTTTCCGAGGGTAATAATTCATTGTTCATTCAAGCTACGACTGTTTGTGAGACACTGCTGTGTGCAATTTTTCTCCCACAAAATACACAGTCAATTCACTTTAAAGTATATTCTATGAGCAGTTAAGGCGCTATATCAAATGAAGGATTATTATTGTTACTTTCAGAAGATATGGGACCACCACACCCAATATTGTATCTCAGGCATAATAATTCACACACACACACGCACCGTAACTCCTCAAGTACCTCTTAAAATACATTCCGAGACACTAGCCCTCATGAAAGCGCTACATCAATGTAACTTATTATTGTTAAAATGCCAGAAAACTATTTAAAAATACGTCCCACCTTTGTAGGAAAACATTTGGAGGGATCAAAATCAAATCCTGTTTTAATCTGGATTCATGAATAAGATTTTTTTCCTCTTTAAATCAGCTAAAGGTTTGAGTCATAAAACAAAGGTTTGATTTCCCATTTATATGAATGTTGAAATTCATGGGATATCAGTGCATGGTTAATGGACATCAAATATAATGGATTCTAGTTTGCCAGGTTATTTTGTGCCATTAAAGTATAAGGCAACATTAGGGAAAAGGGACGATTTCAACTCTAGTTCGCCGACCGGCTTTCCATTCATTCCTCTTACACAGCTACTGTTCAGATGAGACATCAACCTGGGTCCCGTCTGCCTTTTTAGGTGGACGTTAAAGATCCCATAGCACTGTTTGAAAAGAGAAAGGAGTTTCTCTCTCCCCGTGTCCTGACCAACAATCGTCCAAATAAAACCGGTCACTCACTTCATGACTGTTTTGTTTGTGGGACACTGCTGTGTGCAAATTGGCCGCCGTGCTCACCAGCAAAATATCCAATTTTACCCAATCTTATTTGGGGGATTGTCGGCCGGGAAACCCGGAGAAACTCCCTTCTCTGATCAAATTGTGCCATGGGATATTTAACATCCACCGGAAACTTGGTTTAACGTCTCATCTGAAGGACGGTGCCTCTGACAGCGTAATGGGTCCCCAGCAGTGCACTGGAGCATCAATCCAGACTGCGAGCTCAAAGTCCCCACATGGGGCTTGAACCTTAAATAATCCCTCTCGTGCAACCACAGCAGGAAAGAGATCAATCAGATATTGTAGAGGCTGTAGAGCTGAAGGGTTAATATAAAATTTGCTCTGCGGTCTTCCTGCGGACACCAGAGCTAAGCTAACCAAATGCTGAGGCTTGCCACACCTTCATCTGCTCTCTGATGTCTAATTGCTGGACTGGATTCAAAACAGACCACGCAGTCTAAGTGAACCCAGTCACCAGATAGTGTCTCCTCCCTGCTCACGGAACAATGCGAGCCTTTCTTAGTGAGGCGCAGACAAAGAATGCATGGCCATTTCTAACTATTCAAACAGCTTCAAACCTCCCTCTCCTGCCTCCACCCCCCCACAACACACACACATTATATAATCTACACACACGCGCGCGCACAAACATACACTCAAATAAAAGCCCCTTTTGAGTAATAAGCTCAAAGCAAATGAGAATTTAACTTTTCTAAAATTCTTTGCTGCGAAATGGATTCCTTTCTCTCATTGGGTGTGGCCCTCGGCAGAAATGAGTCAGACAGCAGCGTTCCAATGTGTGTGTGTGTGTGTGTGTGTAAGTGTATCTGTGAGTGAGTTTCTGTGTGTGTGTGTGAGTGCGTGTATTTGTGAGTGTGAGAATGAGTGTGTGAGTGTGCGTGTGACTGTGTGTGAGCGAGAGAGTGAGTTATGTGAGTGATTGTGTGCAAGTTTATGTGTGAGTCTGTGTGTGAATAGGTATGTGAGTGTGAATTTTCCATTATGTTCCAACATCCCTTTTTAAACAGAAACCAAATCAATGTTGAGGAACTTTTAAGCTGTTGCTTTTTCTGCCTCGGAATCACATCGTAAGGGAGACCAGGCGGGCAATGTGTAAAATGTTAGTTATTGCCCTGGGGGCTCACAAGGGTTTGCATCGAACTCCATCTAATAAAAATACTTTGGCTTTTGCATCTCTCCGCCCCTCTCACACACACACACACACACACTTGTTGAGCCTTCATGTCTAACAACAAATCCCATTTATACAGCACCTTTCACATAGGCGCTGGGCAGTGAAGCTGAGGGTTGGAATCAACAAATTTGGTGGAGGGCAAGTGGGATGGGCAAGGCAGGACAGTCAAAGAGAAGTGCTTGACATGGGCCTCATTTAAATACAAAATTAAAATAAAAATCATCTGCTGCCTTCCTCCCTCTTGGATAAGAAATGAGAGATAAGAAACGAAACCCGCACATCCACAGAAACGTTATTAAAGCACAAACAGTTTGTTGGGTGGCAGCAGGGCTATGGGATGTCCTGATTTCAAGTCATGGCTGGATATTTCCTGCCTGTTTCGCAGGTATGCAGTGAGGATGGTCCCAGGGATCTGGGACTGACGGTGATGCAGGGCGACTGACACCCTGTGAGGTACATAATACTAGGTTTTCCATCAGATAAGTGTGGGAATCTCAGGAGAAAATCTGCTGTTTTCCTTAACACGTTCCTGGCATTATTTAGCACAAGGAACACATCAAATAATATGTGCATTTGATACAGCACCTTTCACCTCGGGAGGACTGCTCAAATCACTTTGCAGGATTAATTGTAAACTGCACGTTTTGTAGACAAAGGCGACAGCCAAATTGCACACAGCAATGTCCCACAAACAGCCATGCAGTGAGCGACCAATTATATTTGGGGAATTGTCAGCCAGGACATCGGGAGAGAGAAACTCCCTTCTCTTTTCCAACAGTGCCATGGAATCTTTAACATCCACCTGAACAGGCAGACGGGATCTGGGTTTACGTCTCATCCAAAAGACGGCACCTCCGACAATGCAGTGCTCCCCCCAATGCCACATCGGAGCATCAACCTGGAGTATGTGAGTTCAAATTCCCAATATGGGGAGTGACAACCTTCTAATTCTGAGGCAAAAGTCCTACCAACTGAGCCAGGCTGACACCCACGTTAAGGAGAAATGAAAATTACAGTACAGGACAGTTAGAGCACTCGCCTCGCAAGTGAGAGACCTGGGTTTGATTCCCGGCAGGACAAAACATTGGGCAAGTTTCCTTACTCCACACACCTGTTTACCTAGCAGTAATTAGGAGCCGGTTGTTAGTCGATTGACGGATTGCTTTTCCGGGGGTAATAATTGCTTCCAAAGATAATAATAATAAATTGGTCACTCAACCACGACTGTTTGTGGGACACTGCTAAGCATAATTGGCTGCTGCGTTTCATCCACAAAATATACAGTCAATTCACTTTACAGTATATTCTATGAAGCGGTTTGAGACGTCTCGAAGACGTGATCAGGCGCTATATCAAGTGTAAGGATTATTATTATTATCATATGTAGTTGTACGTGAAAGTGGGTGTTTTTACTGGGATCCGCCATTAAAGAAAAAAACTTGAAAAGAAAGCAACTGGAACGAGGGTCCAAGTGGTTAAGAAAAAGCAGAAAGCTTCTAACTCATCAAGATATTTTCATTGAGCCAGTTTAGGTTAAGTTCTGCAATAAGACTCTTGGAAGAATGCCACCCAGCCAGGCATCAAGACAGCTTACACACAGCTCTGCTCATCTGTTGGCACGACTCACAGACCTTTGAGTTCAGTTGGTTGTTTGACATCCGATAAGTCAACCTGTGCCTAATACTCTCCAGAATTCGGTAAGCAGGAAGCGTCCCTCCAGGAGAGAGAGCGTTCATCCATTCCAACAATCTATCTCTGGAATTTCCATGTGTAGATGGGATGCATGGAATTCTCAGTTTGGTTTGGATACTCTAAAGTATCGTGATGGGTTTCCACGTGTGTTAACACCCGGCTGACCAAAAAAAAGAGCCTGCCTACCCACCCACCCCACTTCACTGCCGTCTCCCCCACCACCGACACCCCCTTGGTGATTACAGTAAACTACTGATAACTCATTGCTCCAAGGGAAAAGGGCTCAATGACTAGTTATCCAGAGTGGCGAGTAACGCATGTGTATAAATACACAAATAAATGTGACTGGGTTATTGACAACATGATGAGTTAAGTGGTCGTGACAAGGGTTGAGTTATCAGGAGTTAACTATGATACACTGACTGCCAATCCCACTCATAACAAGTCTACTGTTTAGGGACCACCTCCATCAATTTCTGACCGCAAATATAATAAAAATGCTCCTTATAGCAATGCCTATAAAGTGCAGTGACTGTGTATTTTGTAGGCGAACACGGCAGCCAGTTTGTGCGTAGAAGGTCCCGCAAACAGCCATGGAGTGAGTGACCAATTCTATTTGGGGGATTGTTGGCCAGGATGCCAACAGAAATGCTCATCTCTTTTTCCAATAATGCCATGGGATCTTTAACATTCACCTGAATAGGCACAGACGGCAGCTTAGTTTAATGTCTCAACAACAGCAACAAATTACGCTTGTATAACGCCCTTCACGTCTGAAAGATGTCCCAGGGTGCTGGATCGTCCAATTCAAAGGACGGCACCTCTGACCCAGCGCTGCACTGGAGCTTCAGCCTAGACTGTGCAACAAGAATGGATGCAGAAACAGAAAGGAAT